CCCCCGCCGGCGGCGCTGATCAGTAAGAGCGAGGCGGGGCTGCTGGCCCCCGCCCCCCTGGACGAGGCGTCCAGCCACACCACGCTCAGCACTTCGGAGGACAGCAGCTACGGCACGGACATCACGCGCTGCATCTGCGGCTTCACCCACGACGACGGCTACATGATCTGCTGCGACAAGTGCAGGTACGGCCGCGCAGAGCGGGGGAGCGGCGAGGGTACGGCCTCCCAGAGACCCCTCGTCCTCCAGTCGCCGTTCCGGGAGCCCTCTCGTAACCGGAGGGCTAGTGGTCCTGTCCAGGAGGTCTTCTGGCCCGTGGCTTGCGTTCAGGTGCTTTCTTCTGTTAAAAGGCGGAACTGCACCGCCGTTTTTGCGTTTCGGGGATCGGAAGAATCAGCGTTTTTAAACCGCATGAAAAGAAAAATGGACATGGTGACTTGTAAAACCTCCACTTCACATCGCAGGATGGCTGAAATTCCCCGGTCTGCGCAGCGCCAAGCTCTGCCATTCAGAACGAGGCGACAAAACTAGTGAGGTGAAGCGGCCCTGTTAAATTGTAAACAAGCAGGCCTGCGAGTCCATCTCTTTTGATCCAGTGGAAGTATTGCTCTCCCGACTTCGGGATGGTTTTGCCGTTAAACGAACTCGCTCGTTAACTCTGCATGCCGATCACGTTGGAAGAATTCTGCAGTGAAATATCTGCTGCACGACCTGTTCTTATTTGCTCATACGTTACATTACGTCAGTCATTGCAGGGACTAGTGAGCAAGAAGGGCCACATCATGTGAGAAATCGTGAAAGCTCTCGCCCACGGTGAGACAACAGTACAGTGGTTTGCGACAACAAAGAGACTTAAAAGTACTTAAGAGTTCACAGTTTTGTGCTTAATTTGTAACTTTGATTTTGTTACTGAGATTTAATAACCAGTCTGAGAAAAGTAGACTGCAGTTCTACTCTTAAGTCTTTTTCTTAATATGAAATATTACAAAGGAAAATATCAACTGTAAATGAGCATCAAAGAGCTTGAGAAAAGTCAGTTTCGTAGTAGTTCAGTGATCTGAGGATCTCAATCAGCTGTTTCTTAAAGAAACCAGGGTATCGGTTTCAGCAACATGGCTGCGTGCTCTTGCAACCCTTTTGTGTGTAGAAGTGCCTTCTGTTCTCTCTTTTCTGTGAACTTCCTCATACTTTCCTATTGTGACCTCCGATTTGTGTTTCACTGTTCACTCTTACTTCAGCAATTTTTCATTAAAATGTAATTTGCAACTCTGAGGAAATTCAAGGAAGAAAGCCACAGGGCAGAGTGCGTCTGTGGCCTTTGCTCACCACGGAGAAACTCTGTGGGAAGGAAGGAATTGTGACCTAAATTGTGAAATTTTCTTCCTTGCAAAACCATGTAGTATTTTGTCGCGTCTCAAATAAACATGATAACTTTTCCGAAGTCCCATTCTGGAGGGGGGCAAGGAACAAATTTTGTCCTGTTTTAAACTTATGGTTTTGAGGTTTTCTCTGGGTGTCCTCCTGGGAAGGCTGTAGACAGATCTGGCATCTTTTTTTTTCCAGATAAAGGCATTGTCTAAATTTTAATTTCCTGTAACCCTTTTAGGTTCACTGTAGGAATAGCGAGCTGCTTTATACTAGCCTTTCAAACTCAGAAGTGCCACAGGCCTCATTAGTGCAGAGCCACTGAATGACTGCCTGGTGCCAAGCACGGGTACCGTTTTGCCACAGTACTGGTGCATCTGGGAACATCTGTTTGATCATGACTTCTCCCCCTCCCCCCTTCTCTGTCTCTTCCCTGACAGCGTGTGGCAGCACATCGACTGTATGGGGATCGACAGGCAGCACATTCCCGAAACCTACCTTTGTGAACGCTGCCAGCCCAGGTCAGTACGCTCGCCCCAGAGCCCCGCCGGTCTGTTCACCTTGCAAGGGCGGCACAGCTGCTGCAGTACAGCATGTCTGCTGGCGTGCAGTGGGGCAGTGTCGCCCGTGAGATGGATGGCATGTCTGCTGGCGTGCAGTATGACGGTGTCGCCCGTGAGATGGAGGGCGTGTCACGCTCTCCATGTCTCCAGGGGCGGAGCGGTGGCTCTGCGGCTCAGGATCTGCGCCTGTGGCTGGAAGGTTGCCGGTTCAAATCCCGCGGCCGGCAGAGGAATCCTACTGCGTTGGGCTCCTGAGCAAGGCCCTTAACCCCAGCGGCACCAGGGGCGCTGTACAATGGCTGACCCTGCGCTCTGACCCCCAAGCTCATGTCTATGTGTCTCTTGGAGAGCAAGCTGGGGTATGTGAAAAGACGAATTCCTAAAGCAAGAAATTGTATATGGCTAATAAAGTGATCTTATCTTATGTCTGCTGGTGTGCAGTACGGCGGTGTCGCCCGTGAGATGGAGCTCGTGTCTCTGCTGGTGTGCAGTATGGCGGTGTCGCCCGTGAGATGGAGCTCGTGTCTCTGCTGGCGTGCAGAACGGCGGTGTGGCCCGTGAGATGGAGTTCGTGTCTCTGCTGGCGTGCAGTACTGCTGGTGTGCAGTACGGCGGTGTGGCCCATGCGATGGAGCTCGTGTCTCTGCTGGCGTTCTCTGCTGGCGTCCAGTATTGGCGGTGTGCAGTACTGCTGGTGTGCAGTACAGCAGTGTGGCCCATGAGATGGAGCTCGTGTCTCTGCTGGCGTGCAGTATGGCGGTGTCGCCCGTGAGATGGAGTTCGTGTCTCTGCTTGCGTGCAGTATGGCGGTGTCGCCCCGTGAGATGGAGAGCGTCTCTTCTGCCGTGGGTCTTCTCTCCGGCGCCGAGTGCTGCTGGTTGTGCTGCACCATTGTGTGTTTTTGATGCAGAGTGTGTTGTCTTGCAGGAGTTTAGACCGGGACAGGGCCATCGTCCTTCAGACTCGGAAGAGGGAGAACATGTCGGGTGAGTGCAGCCTCCTGACCTGCGGTTGTGTGCGTGCTGCAGGTACGAGTGGGCAGCCGCCTCGGCGTGCCGATGAGCACGTCGGAGTTAAAGGGGAACTGCAGCGCTATTTTTGTATTTCGGGGTAAGAAAGAATAAGCAAGGATGAGTGCATTTGAAACCACAATAAAAGTGAAATGTACACAATAACTCGTAAAAGCTCTAATTTACAGCACAAAATAGACAAAATTTCCAGGTCTGTGCAGCGCCAGAAAGAGGCAACAAAACACCTGGTGGCTTGTTGCAGCCTTGTTACATTGTAAACAAGGTGTCTTGTTCGTACGTCTCTCTTAATCCAATAGAATTATTGCTCTAGACTTTGAGACAATGGTTTTGCAGACAAAAATTACTTCTTAACTCTGCACGCAGATCATGTTGGAACATTTTTGCAGTGAAATATCGGCTTCACAACCTGTATTTATTTGCTTCTACATCCCGTTACACCCATTAAAGTGACTAGTGAGCAGGAAGGGCCACTTCACGTCACAATTCGTGGGAGCTCAAATGCACGTTTTACAAAGTTTACGATTTTTAAGACATTTGTCAAATTCCTCTAGTAAGCAGTCTAAGAAATCGGGACTGCCGTTCCCCTTTAATTCCTTGCTGACCTGTAGAAAGACACTCACGTCGTACCTGTATCACGCTGGGGCGTCTTGTTATTCGGGAGTGGGGGGCGCCGCTAGCCATGAGAGCGGTCTGCCGGTGCGCTAACCGCGTGGCGTCTGCTTCAGACGGGGACACCAGTGCGACGGAGAGCGGCGACGAGGTGCCGATGGAGCTGTACACGGCCTTCCAGCACACGCCCACCAGCATCACGCTGACCGCCGCGCGCATCGGCAAGGCCGGCGACAAGAAGCGCAAGAGGAGCGGCGACAAGGAGCCGGGCACGGGAACCACGCGCACCAAGAAGGTCAGCAGGTCGTGCCCCCGCCCCGCCGCCCCCGTCCTGCCAGCCCGGCCCGGCCCGGCCTGGCCGTGGGCACCTCTGTCATCCGCCTGTCACTAAGTTAAGACTCTCCCTTCGGTCAGTTCCACTGCCACGCCTCTTTGATTTGAGCTCCTTCCCTGTCCGGCAGGGCTTGGAGGAAATGTATGAATCTACCTTTGCTCGTGTGTTGATAGAGGATTGTCGGGGCTGCGATAAACCATGAACCGGACTTGGAACGGACCGTTTCTGAGCCGGAGCAAAGTGCCCATTAGTCTGTGCTGGCGCCACCTCGCTTAGCAGCAGCAGTGCCGTACAGTGATGGTGTCAGCACAAGGCAGACACGGCAGGTAGAGAAGAGGCAGTTCTGCTCTGCCGCAGGCACTTTAGATGCGAAGCGGGCAGCAGGAATCCAGCCTGGCTTGTGCCATGGGCTTGGGAACACAGCCTCGTCCTTGTACAAGGCCCCCAGGTTAGCGGATGAGAACCGGGTCGGATGGGATGTGGGCCCCGGGTTTCTCGTCCCGTTACTCACGAACTCTCTCCCCCCCCCCCTGCTCACTCAGGCATTCCGTGAGGGGTCCAGGAAGTCCTCCAGAGTAAAGGTAGGGGCAGTCTCGTCTCTCTCACACGGTTCACACCACAGACCTCTGTCCCGCTGGGGGAGAATCGGGAAGCTTTTGGCTCGGCAGTAAAATTGGTTCCTGATGCTGGGCTGCTGTTGGGCGCCCCTTGAAACAGATTTCAGACGCTCTCTTAGACAGACGCAGAATATCGCTGTGTTCTAATTTATTTCTAAATGTGCAAATACTTTCATTCTTTAATACTCCTTCCTGCTGCATTTAATGAGGTCTTTAAGCCTACTCTTCACAAGTGTGATTTTATTACACAAGGTGTAACCTCGAGGGCATCTTGGATTGACATTAGTCTAGATCTCTTTAAGTGCCGGGTTCTTAACTCTGTGCAATGTAGATAGGTGTTCTATGGAAAGCTTTCCATGCGAGCCATGTTTTTTCCTTTTATAATGTAAAATAGGAAATTAAGGAACAGGAAAAGGTTTATTCCGTGCAGAAAGGAAAGGAACATTTTGGTTGTGGAGCCTTCTTTAGAAGCATTGCCTCTTTCCTTTCAGCATGGAATAAACCTTTTCCTGTTCTTTGCTGCCTACGCATGGTGTCACAGCTGCCCACTCGAAATAAGAAATTGTGCATTTCAGAAAAACTATAGTATTTAAATAGACTTTAGATTATGGATAAGTTCACTCCCGCGTAACACATTCATATGAGTGTACTGCACTCGTTGTTGTGGCTGGGCTTTGTAAGTGAGGATGTGAGGCAGAAAGGGGAGAGAGAGTAACTTTGAGTCTGTATAATAAGGACAGCGGGTGGGTCCCTTTGTGAGGGGGTGGCACCCATAGGGAGAAGCCTGTGCTCACCTGTCCTTTTCTCTCTGTCTGGTTTCCAACCCCCTTCTCTTCCCCTGCCCCCATTCTCTCCCCGTCCCTGTCTGCCCTTCTTCTCTGCCTGTCGCCTCCTGTGCCTGCCCCCGCTCTCAGGGCACGGCCCCAGAGGTGGACCCCACAGACACGCCCTCGCTGTGGGAGAGTAAGATCAAGGTGTGGATGGAGCGCTATGAGGAGGCCAGCAGCAACCAGTACAGCGAGGACGTGCAGAGCGTGCTGAGGCTGAGGGAGGTCGGGGCGGGCAAGCCCCACTCGCACCCCTTCAACACCCACGCCGTGCCCTTCAAGCCCCCCGTGGAGGTCAGAGACGCCGACGTGGCGAAATCCCCCAGACTGAAAGGGGAACTGCAGTCCCAGTTTCTCAGACCACTTCTTAAATCTTGGATAACAAAACGGATTCATGGCCCGCATCGCCAAATTCGACACTTTTCGAATGAAGTTGTAAAATGAGGAGCTTGGTGAAAGTAGTGTACGGCGGCCAGGTTGTCGTGGGCAGACGAGAAACCGCTGGCCTCGCTGTTGGCGAGAGCGAGAGTTTGGGCGAATAGTGACGCGAGAGCAGCCCTTCCTGCTCGCTAGTCTCTGTCAGCAAATGAGAAACGTGGCCTCCTAGCAACGTTAATTATTATGAGTGTATTTAAGTTGGTTGGCAGGTTGCTCCTTTTTTGCAATAATTAAGAAGTCTTAAAAACATGTCACCTTATGTGAAGTATTTACTAATAATATAGTAGCAAAATTTGCTTGGTCTATAGCTTGTTTACAATGTAATAGGGCAGCTTTGCTGTCACTGGAAATTTTGCTGCCTTGCTCCGAATCACAATGAAGGCAATATGGCGCTGCACATGCATTGAAACTGTGCCTTTTGTGATGTAAATGGGAGGTTTTAAGTGCTACTGTGTACTTGGTAGTTTCATAATGGTTTGAAAAGCACACATCACTACCGATTCTTAATAATCTGCAGTGTGAAAATAGCGTTGCAGTTCCCCTTTAAGAACCCTTGGAGAGTTGCAAAACTCTGTTCTTCTGTTGCATGGGAGACCTGACCCCTCTCTTTCCCTCCCCTGCAGAGTCAGGTGCAGAAGAATAAGAAGATCCTGAAGGCAGTGAGAGACCTGCCCCCCGACTCCCTCATCATCGAGTACCGGGGCAAGTTCATGCTGCGCCAGCAGTTCGAGGCCAACGGCTACTTCTTCAAGAGGTGAGTCAGAGTGTCTCGGCGTGCGGTCCGGCATGCCTCGTGTGTGTTTGTCCGGCGTGCACGTGAGCGTCTGATTGCAGTTCTGCGTAAGCTTACGTGTGACGTTTCTACCCATCAGTCTGCCGGCCTGTGAGCATCAACCCCAGGCTTTGTCTACGTTACCTCCTGGGTCTCCCCGAAATTCAGCCTTAGACGCCTCCAGGCAGAATCGGGCCTTCACGCGGTCTTCTCTTTGCACTGACGGCGGCGTCTGTGTTCTCCCTCTCCTCTTCAGGCCGTACCCCTTCGTGTTGTTCTACTCCAAGTTCCACGGCCTGGAGATGTGCGTGGACGCCCGCAGCTTCGGCAACGAGGCCCGCTTCATCCGCCGCTCCTGCACCCCCAACGCAGAGGTGCGTACTCTTTCCGAAATGCCCCGCAGGGGGCCCCCGGGGGGAGGTCTCGGCCGAGGGGCCGGCACCTCCTCGCCCCGCTCCAGCCGGCTCACCTGTCCGTCCCCATGTGCGCAGGTGCGGCACGTGATTGAGGACGGCACCCTGCACCTGTACATCTACTCGGTGCGAGCGATCCCCAAGGGCAGCGAGATCACCATTGGTTTCGACTACGACTACGGCAGCTGGTGAGTTGGGGTGAGGGGGTGGGACGTGTCCCGTGGCCAAAACACCAGTGTTTCCTCCCACAGTCCCTTGACATGCTGCTAGGTTCATTTGGCTTTCTCTAAAATTACCCCTGGTGTTTGTGTGTTTGTGTGTTTGTGTGTTTGTGTGTTTGTGTGTTTGTGTGTTTGTGTGTTTGTGTGTTTGT